AATGTAATTTATTATCTACTTGTTTTGTAACTGTTTTTTCTCGCCAAATAAACTCTATGTTTTTTTCAATAAGACTACCATTATTATCCTTTTCTTCAACTACAACATAGGTTTCACATCCAATTTCATTTTTTCTTTTTCCCCAGCACTGACATCCCAATATTGTTCCTATTCGGTTATATCCATTTTGCCCTTTAAAAACACACAAATATTTTCGTAAAGAAGGGCGATATAAAAATTCAGGCTCATTTGAAAAAAAAAACATAAAATAAACTTTCTGGAAAACTCCATTGAATATGTTTTAGACCTTCATTTGTTCGATGAAAGCCTAATTTACTATTAATATCCTGAAGAAGCACAGCACGAAAGTGATTAATAATTCCCTCAGATATTACAGGTAAATGTTGGTGATGTGGAACAATGCGGTTCATATTATGTTTGGTATTTTCATGACGGCTCAATGATAATTTCGAAGAGTATGAATTATTACAAAGTTGGCAAGAAAAAGGTTTATGAGGTGCCATAATATTAGTACGTATAAATTATTTTACTAATATATATATTTAAGTGTCATATGATATCACTTGTTATATCACCTAATTTTAAACAGTCACAGCATTCCACCAAAAAAATCTGCCCATATGGTAAATTATATTCGATTTACTGATGATTAAAAATTAAAAGTGCGATTTAATGATGTTTACTAAGCAATTTTATCTCAAAAAAAAAAACTTGCGATTTTTTAAATACTGCGCTCAACTAAAACAAAAACTTAACTGTTTCTAATTATTTATTGTTTAAAAAAACACTTTTTTTTGATCAAAATTTGTTAATATTGCGTTCAACTAAACAAAAATTTGTCTGTTTCTGATTCATTTATTGTTAAAAAACCACTTTAATAAAAATTTTTAAGCGTATCAGAGCAATTAATCTAAAAATAATATTATTATAGTTAACGATATTACCTTAATTGTTATTTTAAATCAGGTATTCGTTGTTATTCTTTTGAACTATTAAAAATAGCAAAATTCTCTTTCTAATTTTGAAGACGAATTTATTTATTTATGGTGTTTTAGCATACTATATAAATTAATATACTACTAAAATATCGTAGTTTATTATACATTTTAAAATATTACGATACTAAAAATTTAAAACGAGTGCACATGATATTAACGTAATATAAGTGAAGCAAAATTATGCGATTTAGTGTGATTTTGTTTAATCACACTAAATCACATAATTTCCGTGTCCCTGCCCTAGGCCCAACCATCTACAGTCAAATTCTCCGCCAGATACGTCAGTTATTGGCGTGAAGCATTCAATAACGGTATTATCCGATACCCTACATTTACAATAAAAATTAATAATATACATATATAAATTTTTTTTGTATTATTTTTTTTTCGCTCTTGATCCTTTTTACTTACAAAAGATGAACTCATTTGTTATTGAATCTAAATAGTTATTAACAAAAACAAAAGTAATAAAGGAAAATACATACAACAAACCAAATAAATGAAATTGTTAATGATATGATTCTGTTGAATACCCAAAACATAATGGCAAAATAAGTTGGAATTTTAGAGGCTTGATGATTTGATGTTTGTTACAATTATTGCATCAAATCTATTATGAATAAAAAGTAAATTCACATGAACAATTTAAAAAAAAATTTAATTCTTAAAAACAATAATAATCTAAAACAAGTTTCAAGTAAATGTACAATTGTTCGTTTCTAAAAGATTCTACAAAAGTAAACTCTATTCAGGACTATCATATGTAACAATTGCAAAAAAAAAGAAAAAAGAAAAAAAACGAAAAGAAAAGAAAAGGGTTATTTCGTGTACTGTAATTAAAAACTAGGAAATCAGAATCTGATGTGGGTCCGAAGCAATACGTATGTATTGTCAGAAAATACGAGCTTTACCATTTGGTATTGTATGTTAACTGATTACAGACTGCAGATCCTTTACAGAAACCTATATATTTTGCTAAATATATTTATCATATTAAAATAATATAATTAAAATATAATTACAATATAATATAAAAATTTTAAAACTGTTAACTTAATAATATCTAAGTTGT